TGTAACAATTGTTTATTAATTCAGAAAAGGATAGCTCTGAAGGGCTTTGTTAACACCATGTTACATTGAGAAAGTTTGCACAGTTGTTTTAAAATGTTTTGGGGTTTTTCCCCAACCTTGATCCAGGAAGAGTATTGTGAATGATATAAGTGTGCTAGCCATGGCACCTAAAGCCCTGTCTCATGTGGATCAGGGGATGAATATTCTTCCTCATCCAGGCAAAAAAACAGACTTGTGAAAGCATTTATTTTGGCTCTCAGGTAAGGATTAGAAACACAATCCCTAAGGACTTGAGTAGTAGAAATCTCAGGGCACTTTTACACATGCTCTGGGGTAGAGGTAGTGGCGTTTTTAATTAAAGCGGTTCCAAGAGCTGCTCTAATTAAAGCACCACCACATCTCCTGTATTGTCGTCCCTGCACTTAAAAATGGCGGTGAGGGCACTTGAACTACAGCTCATTCAACTACCTTTAGTTCAAGTGCTCCCACCACCATTTTTAAGTGCAGGGACATTGATACATGAAACGGAGGAGGTTGCTGGAGCACAGCAATTGCCACACTCCAGCAGAGTCAATAAATCAAGTCTGCTCTGACGCACTGGAATTCCAGGGTGTCAGAGCAGCCTTTGTGTTCATGAATAGGCGCCCTAAGTTGCTTGGTTGCTATATCCCAATAGTGTCTAAGCATGAAACAGGCACTAGTAAGCTGCTTAGTCCTCATGAGACTTGAGGCACTTCTTGATGTGTGCAGAGGAAAAACTGCAGGCATCTGGTGAAAAGTTTAAGTAAAAAAGTAAGGTGCTTTTGGAGCTTTGGCAGACAAGGTTCTTTGGGTAGATGTGATATCTTTTATTAGACCAACTAAATAGTTGGAAAAATTGTTCTTTGCAAATTTTTGGGCACAAACACCCTTCTTCAGGCATAGGGAGAGTCTGTTGTTTTGTGTACTCTCCTGGATAGGATAGAAGCCAATATGCAAAATGCAGGTCTGTGAAAATGCAAATACATGGCAGTGAGGATCAGAGGGAATGGGAAATAATAGGTGTGAGCCAGGTGGTGAAGGGGGAGTGTTGAACTGGTGATAGAATGTAGCTGGTAAAATGCAGACGGGTTACTTGGGGTTATCAGCAGCAGGCAGGTTAGAATGTACCATGAGGCACTGGCATAATCCAGTGTCTATATTTAGACTATGATTTTTTTATCTCCAGTAGATTTATGAAGTTTGTAGGTTTGTCTACGAAAGGTGTTTTGTAAATTCCTTTTGAGGATTAGAACTGAGAGATTGGAGAGAGAGTGGTTGTCTTGAGAAGTGTACACCACAGGTAATTGGATATTTTTGTCTTTGATAGATGTTTGGTGTGCGTTCATTCTGCTATGCATTTGTTGTTTGGCTTCTACATATTTTCCATCAGGGAATTTAGTGCACTGTATGGAGATGTATTACATTTTGGAGGTGCAGGTGTAAGACCTAGGAATGGTGATGGTTCTATTGTAGGGTGTAGTTATTGTAGGAGTAGTGGACATGTGTTGGCAGGTTTTACACTTTTTGTCCTAGCATGGTCGCAGAATCAGCGAGCACCCTAAACACACCAAGAAAGCTATAATATACTACCAAGCCCTCCGATACCTCTGAATTTGCACTGAGGAAAACACCCAGAATCATCACCTTGCAAATCTCAAAAGGGCTTTTACCTAACAAGGACACCCCTCCAGACAGATGGATCATACTTCTGAAAGAGCGACCCAGATGCTACATGAAGATTTGCTGCAGTACCCAGGAATCACACGCCATTAGTTATGGCTTATTTCAGACATTCTTCCCTGGAACCTATGCGGAAAATCCTGAAACAATTGCAACCCATACTAGAAGACGACCCAATATTTAAAGAGATCTTCCCAGAACCACCCATCCTAGCCTTTAAACAAGCACCAAACCTCACTAATCTCATCACCGGAAGCAAACTCCCTATGACCCAAACCACACCGAATAGATCCAGTCCATACTAGGACAAAAAAATGTAAAACTTGCCAACACATTTCCACCACCCCACAATAACTGCACCCCACAACAGAATCATCACTATTCCAGGGTCTTACACCTGCACCTCCAGGAATGTAATAGATTTCATCCAGTGCACTAAATTCCCTAATGGAAAATATGTAAGAGAAACCAAACAACAACTGCGCACCAGAATGAATACACACCAAAAACCTTGCTTGCCTACGTCCTTAGACCAACACAGCTACAACCAAGAACCCTGTGGAGCTTTGGCAACTTCTGGGCTAGGTAACAGCTGAGCAGAGGCTTTCTGGATTGCAGTTTTTCAACTTACGTGTCTGAATTCTGCAGTAGGTTCAGGTTGGTACTTGTGTCCTTTTTACTAAATCGGTACATAGGTGTCAAATGCCTCATCTGGTTCAACAGTATCCCAGCACATACTTTGAGTAATAAGTCATCCTGACCTCACAGTGGTGTGAGGAATGCCATCTTTCTTCCTGTGAGGGGTTAGCTCATTTGGAACATTCGTCGGGCCAGGAATATACATCTGGAAAACGACTTCACCCTCAAGGCAGACTTCCTGAAAAGAAAGGACTGCAGTGCGGGCTTGGCTACCTTGGGTATTCCTAGGGCCAATGCCAAGCAAAAACAGCTTTGTGATACACAACTTGAGTAAAGAAAGTGCTTCAAATGAAATGCCACCATCAAAACAATATTCACTGGGCAGCTCGATTGCATGCAATGTTCCTGTTTGTTGAAAACATCAGAAATATAGACTTATTTTATATATAGATGATATTCAGATTCCCCACTATCTAACCAGTTTGTCACAAAATAGCTGTGCCCCTGCTTCCACCTTTTAACAGTAAAGCACAAAATAAAATGCTTTTTGATTTCTTTGAATTTCTCTCATCAGCTTGACACTAAAGACCTGACTGAAATGGCAGGTTTTCTTTCATATAAATAGCTGTTTGGCACATACATGGACAATAGGGGTGTGCGAAATGGGCCATGTTTGATTTGGGTTCGGCCCAAATTGGGGACAGTGATTTGATTTGTTGATTCGGATCACTGCCCCCAATTTATGATTCAGCCGAATCTGACCATTCAGTGCTGGCTTAAAGAATCAGCAATTTGGACATAGACACAGCTTTAAATGTTAAAAGTTTTTTTTCTACATGCCTCGAGGTACCAGGTGCAGCTTGTAAATGTTGTGATGGTGAGGTGGATGGAGCGTCCCACAGGAGCATGGGGGGGGACCCCTGTATGCTCAGTGGCGAACCTGGAAGTACTTCCGGTCCACTTCCAGGTCTGCCAGGGAGAATGCTGGGCCCCCCCCACCCCACCCCCTTGCTCAGTGATCAGCTGCAGGGGGACCCCAGCTGCCCCCCCAGGCCCAAGAGACACCAGTTGCTGAGTTGGGCAGGGGTGCTTCTGGTCCACTTCCAGGTCTGCTGCCAAGCACATTGGGGAGCCCCCCCACATTCCTGTGGGACACTCCATCTGCCCCAGCATTCAAGCTGTCTGCTACCTAGAGGTATGTAGAAAAAACATTTAAAGCTGTGTCTATGTCCGAATTGCTGGATCTCTGCAAATCGATTGGGAGGGTTCCGATTCGATTTGGAGAGATTAAAAGGTCCTCTGATTTGATTCACCAAATCGGGCCAAATCTCCGCCGAATCGAATCAGGGACTCTTTCAATTTGGCCTATTGTTTAGTAAACACTGGGGCTGTGTCTATAGTGATAGTTCTGAATGAAAGAATGAACAGTTCTTCACCACTAATTTGTCTATAAATGTTCTTAAACATATTGGAGAAGAAAATGAAATCTTGCATATCGGAGAATAGGTTGGTTGTTGTTTTTTACATTGATAATATCAAATATACCAAGTTTGGTCTTTCCTGACTATATTAAAGACACTTGTAAGCATGGAAGATGTGTAGAAGAGATGGGAGTATGGAATCTATAATGTTATCCTTTCCTCACAATGTTAATTTGTCATTGAAGGTAAGCATAAGTTTAAAAATAAGCAACAACAAGAATTATGTATGTTTTCTGTAAGATATCTGATTGTAGTTATCTAACTGCTTCAGTGAAGATACTATATGGCACTTCAGATGCCAGGGATAAAGGTAACTGCAATTTCTAATTAATGTTTAATTTTCACTCAACATCTTTAAAAAAAGCAACTTGTTTATTTTGTATTACATGAATAAGACTTTTCTATTAAGTATCAATATTGATATAAATGTCTAAAAAAGACCACTCAAATGCCACAAAATTTAGATATTTATAGTGTTTTACACAGCTTGAACCTAGCAGTATAAAATTAAATACACTTTTTCAGTTACTTTTGACATAGCCAACATTAGACATTTTGAACATCTGTATAGATTATTAAAACTAACCAAATCTGTATTTTGCTCCATTAATTTAATATCAAGTAATGTTTACTCTGAAATACATGGAGGTGTATTGGAATACCACTTTTGTAAGGTTGGTGGAGGCTACTTAAACTTACAACATATCTATGCTTTCTGGTATTAAGGCCCTGATCCTGCAGTCTAGCATGAACAAGCAAAATCCTCAGCTCTGCACAGAACTCAAGTCAATGGGATTATAATTAAAAGGGTCCACATCTGCAGATACAGTTGTTGTGTGGTACTGTGATTTGACATACTGGGACACAGTCATGGCCCTACTGAAATCAAGCAGGGGAGAGAGGCCCCCAAGATTTCACTACTGGCAGTTTAATAAGATAGGTTTACAGTGAAAACTTTTTAGGGAAGGCGCTGTTTTCCACAAGAAGAACATGGTGGAAAAATAATGTAAGCTTTATATATAAAGAGTAATATATAACAATTGCCAGTTAAAAAAAAAAAAAAAAAAAAAAAAAAAAAAAAAAT